CCACACCATTCGATAGAGAATTTAATTCTGTATCCAACACAACCATTTAAAACACCAGCACAGATACTGAAATGAATATTGGCAAAATAAATCGAATATCGTGCCAACTTTCCTTACGTTGAAACGAGGATGTACTGCGAAAAAGATAGCGAATCCATCCGTCACAATGTAATGGAATGATATTCTGGGTGGATGGAAGGGAGTAGACTACATAGTTTGTGTTTATGTATGACACGCAACTCGAGATGAAACAAACGTATATCGGACTCAGTCAAATGTAGATATTAATACAAACATGTACAGAAAAAAAGCAAAAGTTTCTATGAATTCAATGCTTTAATACCCCCTCACCCATATCTAATTTTTATTCAGAAAGAAAATAACTATGCTCGAGACGATACAGCTAGCATTTTCAAAAGAATGTCCCTTCATGCTAATGTTCGCTATTTGTATTTGGTCAGTCATCATAACTTTGCCGTGGATATACTTAACATTCGTATTGATCCATATTCTCGTATTTGAACACATTGACGATACGTGTTGGTGGTTTTGATAAAATATCACCTGTGTCTTGAATGTGAAACTCCCAGTTTCGTACAGGACGGTCGACATCATCAAATGGGTAACTGACTTCCAGGATTTCGCCCTCCGTTCTCTTAACTCTAACGTGTGTAATAATCTTCACCCATTTGCAATAGGACTTCGGTAGGTCTGGCTGAAAAAACTTCCGAGGAAAGTAATGTTCACTTTTACCCTCGACGATGACATTGATGACTTCGTCAAATTTCTCTTCTTCGGGACGACCATTGTATTTTAGAGTACATTCAATCGGATGAACAGTATGATTTACGATGAAGCAAGAATAAACGTGAGGTGGAGTCGGAGCCATTCTAGAAAACAATATTTTATTCATGACTTTCTCAGTAAGATTGCGGCATCTTACCTTCTTGTGATGTTGTTTAATTCAGAGTGAACAGTTGTTTTACTGTTGAATGTCTTCTCTGTTGAGGGGTCAGTGCACCCTGTCGTTTGATTAGTACTGCTCTCAACGGGCATTATTTGTATCTGAAAATGCATGGAACTTCGCGTAGTCACGGAGGCTTTCTATGATTCTAGATAGCTCCGAAATAAAATGCTCTGATTCAGAGCATTTTTTTGTACCTACCATATTGTACTTTTCGAAACGAGAGTACATCGCATTATAAAAACATTTCAGTATAGCAGTAGTCAGTCGCTTTATTCTCATTTACAAAATACAATGTTGCTACGGACTGGCAAGCAGCAGGTAGCAGAACGAAGCAAAATGTCATTATCAATATTTTTCCAAGTCACTGCTATGGTATCCGATATGCTTATTTTCGTTTGATTACTCGTTTGAGTGGTGCTCGAAAACATAATTCATTCGTTCTCAGAACGAAAAAGTTTGTTTTTAATGCGCACAAAAAGTACTTTTTCTCTCTCTTGTAAAGCGAAATGATAGAATTTTCATGACTTGTCGAAGGATAACTTCCGCGGAAATGGAGGAAGAATCAGATAACGAGTATCATTGAATTCAACTGTGTCAACCAAGTGGTGTCTATGGACGTGTTTTTAAGCGATTCTTAGTCTTTTATTTCGAAAGAATGAGTACTTACCTGGCAAAATAGGGTTTTATCTTTCACGAATTCAATGCCACTCTTACCGTAGGCAATTAGATACATCCAGATCAAACGACGGTTTTCTTCAAGTAAGCGTAAGACGAGCTCAGAGATATGGTTAATTACTCTACTAAGATATATTTATACAAATCGTTTGGTTTGGTTTAGACAGGTAGATCATTTCACATCTGTTTTCTCGAAAATCTCTATGTATATTTTTGACTTCTCTCATTTGTTGTTTTTCTTCTTTCATAGAAAAAACTGCTAGAAGAAGGAAAAAAGGAAAGGAGAGCAACGGTAAACTATTAACCTTAACCTTCTGTATGAAAATTTATGTAACCAATGCGACAAGCAAATGATGACGGAAAGAAATGGAAAACGAGAAATACAAAGTTTGCGTGAAAAGTAAGAATTTCCCGATGACTCCCACTTGTTTATGAGTTGCTTGAGAACTTTCCGACTGACGGAAGAAAGCAAGCGGAAATACAGATACATTTGCTATATAGTTGATTTTCACATGTATAATATTAATCATTATTCATAACTTTCTTCCCCTATGTAGTACTTCTATATTTATTGCTACTACAGTTTTCTTTTTTTCTTCATGTTTCTTTCTGCGCATAAAATAAATACTTGAATATGCAGAGAGAAGGAATAAAAAAACTGTAAAAAAAAACTAAAATAGCTGTTGTTTCTATTGCAAAAAACGTGAAGTCTATCCGGGTATAGTCTTATGGCCCAAATCAGTTCAGCAAAACTTTCGCGAAAAGCCTTTTCATTATTCCCAAAGCAATAATCTTGTTTACGCGTTTATTTCAGTTATCATCCTCTGACATAAATCGTTTCTCTTTGCCATCCACCAACTGAACTTGTCGAGCTCCAATTCGAATCCGATGCACAACTTTTTCGTAGGCAGTTCACTGAAGTATCGTTTAATAATTCATTTGGATAGTAACCTCAGTTCCACCCAGTACGTAGCAGCACTGTAAATCGAGATTTATCAAACTTCACTCATATGCATACGCTCAAGATATTAGCAGCAGATAGAATATCAATAATTTTAATACTGTGGCTCCCCCACTACATGATAGGATCAAGCATGCGACATACCAGGAAATCGAAATCTACTTTATACACCGTGCCTGAACACGTAAGGAAAGTTGGCACGATATTCGATTTATTTTGCCAATATTCATTTCAGTATCTGTGCTGGTGTTTTAAATGGTTGTGTTGGATACAGAATTAAATTCTCTATCGAATGGTGTGGTTTTCGGTAAGGGTCACCGACCAAAAACCCAAGTTTTTGACGAAACAATAGGTTTTCTGGTCTTTCAGAAATTTGTAATTCTTGCTAATATTCGTCTGCGANATTCGATAGGGAATTTAATTCTGTATCCAACACAACCATTTAAAACACCAGCACAGATACTGAAATGAATATTGGCAAAATAAATCGAATATCGTGCCAACTTTCCTTACGTCAAGAAAATGTCGAATCCTGCCCGAAGGTATCCTACGTTAGCGAATTGGTCTTTGCTGCGGCAATAAAGCGGTGCACCAGTATTTCAAATATTGGTTAGCATGCAATGAAATAGAGTACGACTGGATTACAAAAGAAAACGGAAGGGTGAGCGTGAAGTATGGTCAACGCACAAACGGATTGAAGCGAAGTATCACTTTATCCTCCGGATTTTAGAGCTTAGTCAAGGATAATATATTCGACAAGATAGGAGGTTGCTGTGAAATAGGCATTTTATGTGTTTTGTTAGAGAAAACAAAGCCACTTCTTTAATAGAGGTGCTAATTTGAGAGCATGGTAATCTTAGTTGGACGCAGTCTTATACGATAATCTATCCAAAAAGTTCTCTTTATCAGGATTTTGCAGAGAAATTCATAGTCTAGCTTTTGAAAAATACACATACGTACGACCGAATCTCAGAGAAATTTCTGTAAAATACTGTGAGACTCACTCCATGTGATACATTCTTGATCACTAAAAATAGTCAACTACAAAAAGCCATTACGACGCCGTCTAATCACGCGTTAAATCCTAGTTACGCCACTACTACCACTACTGTGTTATAAATGAATGGTTGTAAAAAGATCTTTCTCTTTTTCGCTGAAAGATTTATAATTATAGAGAAAACCTCAATCGTATTCTATTTACTTCCTCTTGTTTCATTGCATTCAAGTAAATAAACGTCGATCGACTGCGTGTATAATTTTTTCCTACGGCAGGCATTAGAAGAGAAAGGACACATCTAAAGAAAGTCTTCTTGAACTCATAGCTCATTCCGTCTTTTCTTTCTTGCAAGTCTGAATTTGAATTTTTTTCTCCGCCAGTATCATTTCTTTCCATCTGTTGAACCTTCATATTTCACGACTAGGGGTGTTACTTTCCCAGGTCGATAATTCCGACGAGTGGATCCGTTAAAATCTGGGTCGGTTCCGGTACAGCTTTTGTCGATTCCGGCACAGTTTTCGCCGATTCCAGTAGGTTCCGGCAGATTCCTTGCCGCCGGATTCCGGCTGGAATTGAGATGGAAATATCCGATCAGTTCCTGACCATTTCCGGCTAGAAGTTTGCAGAAAACGGTTAGGAAATGACTGGAACCTACATTTAAACTTCCGGCCGGAATCCGGCGGCAAGGAAATTGTCGGAAAACGAACATAACCGGCCGGAACCGACCGTGTCATAATGACCTGGGTTATTCTCTTCCTTGTAGAGAAGAGTCTTATAAACATAAGTTGTTTGCTTGCTTGTATGCCCGCAGGGTCAAGAAAACATTGAAAATCGATTTTTTTCCAAAAAGACATTTCCAGATGTATTTCGATGCGGAGACTTTGAATCTGATGTTATTTTTTTGAAATTTTTCATTAAAAAAAATTTGTTTAGACAAAGAACGACTTTTTTTACAAAAAAAGTTTTTTTTTCATAAAATTTTACCAAAGGGTTTTTGGGGTCCAGGGATTCAAATCTGATGTTAGTTTCTCGGAATTTTTCACAAAAAAATATTTTTTTAAACAAAGGGCCGTTTTTTACCAAAATAAGTTTTTTCATAAAATTCGACTGAGGACACTTTAGTAAGGAGTTTTTTGGGTCAATGAACTCGAGTCTGGCGTTATTTTTTTCAAATGTTTACATGGATCAATTTTTTTACAGAAAGAGCGACTTTTTTTGTAAAAAAGTTTTTTTTATAAATATTCACTGAAGACATTTTGTGGTGGAAGAGGACAAATCTGATGCTACTTTTTTGAGAATTAAAAAAAAATTTTCCAACCAAGGATATCGATTTTTAGAAAAACATTTATAACTTGTATGGTACCGGGTATAGTCAAGTGTATAAGTGTGATGAATAAATTATTGTGTTCAATGTCTCATTATGTAATGATTAGCACTTAACTTTCGCAAACGAACTTTGAAGTAACGTCCATCTATCAGATAATGAGACCGAGCTTCTGCCCGGTCACCTACCCTTCGTACCCAACATGTCTGTACTTCTCGCCGATAACATTGCGTGTGAACTAGGGCTTTCGAATGGCACACAAACAATTTTTCGAGAGCTCGTATACGATGATCAGGAGGAGCCAGGGGATTTTAAGATAAAGAGCGATGTATTTCCCTCCAATACAATATACATACGAAAACCATTATATGCGCTTGGGGAAATTAGTACATCACAAGTAGAAACAAATCTTGATGGTCTTCGCCCTAAACTAATTCCTATTCTATTTATCAAAAAACGATTCACTGTTCCTATAAAGCAACTCTTCGGACATTTACTCGATCGAGTACAAAGTGGGAGAAAAATTCCACAAGTCATTCAAGTTACAAGAACACAACTACCAATTGTACCTGCCTTCGCTATAACTACATACAAGGCGCAAGGGCTCACAATGAACAAAGTCGTAGTCGATCTTCAAGTTCCGCCTGGGACACTGCAAGTAGCATCGATATATGTACCACTCAGTAGAGTGAAGAAAGGGGATGATATAGTTATCCTTAGACCTTTCGACATAAAGGTTCTACAAGTTCAACCTTCTTCTGCGCAAGACGCTGAACTGAAACGTTTAGATGAACTTGACAAAAAGACAAAACGAGAGAGTACCTCTTTCATTTTTTGATACATGTGTAAATCGATACTTTGCTAAGAGCCTAGTGTTATTGGAAGCATATAAAACGTATTATACTTTGAAACTACCTTAAAATAATTATTCATGCATGTTTATTTTCTTTATCTCTTTCTTTACATTTATCTTAATTATTGTAGTAACTGTCTCTTTTCTCTCATTGCATCAGATATTGCCTATCTTGTTTTCTTAATTTCGTTTTTTGATGTAATCATCCATAATCTTCCTAACTGTATTAATATTTCTTCACAATATATAATGCTCTATTTAACATTTGGCATAAATATCTAATCTACACTAAAAATAAATTAATATACACAATAATAGCTTTAAAGTGTAATATCTGAAAGCACGATTTCTACGAGAAAGAGCTGAGCGAGTCGCTAGACGAGCGTTACTTATCTTTATTTCTCTTCAAATAAAGAATGAAGTATAGGCAAAATCTTTATCTTTATTTTGTAAAGAATAAAAATTTTCTTTATTTTCTTTCTTTATTTTGTAAAGAATAAAAATTTTCTTTTTTTTTCTTTATTTTTGTCCTTATTTTTTTTCTTTATTTTTAAAGTAAAGAAAAATCTTTACCTTTCAAATAAAGTTAAAATAAAGAATAAAGAATTTTTTACAATTTTTGAGAAAACACGATAAATTTTTTGATATTCACAAATTAAATTAACAGGGAGTTATTTCATGAGACAGGATGTTACACTTTACCTAATATTAGGATCATTTTCTGACTTAACATACGATCTCACACTTGGCAGAGAAATTAGGTATGTTACTTTTTTTTACTTTTCTTTAAATAAAGAATAAAGAATAAAGATAATCTTTATTTTTTATAAAATAAAGATAAAGTAACACCCCTATTTACGACGGTTGAGTCTTAAACTAGAAAAAAATTGTATTAAGAATTTTTCTGCAACAAATAAAGGAAATGGAAAGCTAGAATTCTTACGAGAATTCCGGTCGGCATTTTCTCAGCTTCTTCTCTTTTCGAGAAAGCGCGCAAAACGAACGATACTATAATTACCAATGTAGTTTTTTTTTATGTTTTTTTTGTTCTGTTCTTGGAAAAATACTGGATTTGCTGGTTGAGAAATTTGTGCATGGGATTCATAGCAGAAGTACATAAGCCCCCCTCCAGTTCAAAAGACCCCATTACAGATTATATTTATCCAGTCAATTAGAAGACCCGGTCTATTATTGTGTCCGATTTTTCTAATCCTTTTCTTTTTTTCCGGGCTGGAAAGACGTGTTCGTCGGTAGTGAGATATGTTATGTTATCGTTTATATCTACTTTACAACCTAGGCATCAATCACCGCGTCTGCATTGCATTTTTTCCAATGGAAAGAAGAAATAAAATGAGGAGAAAAGAGAAAAATGGACGTACTAGATAAATTGCTGTGTTCTACGATCTTCTCGAACGGTCCCAATTAAGAAATATGAAGATTTCAAAATCATGAAGAAATTTCACCCTCAAGACACATTAGAAGAACCCCCCCCCCCCCCGCCCCATAATAGAAGGCCCCTATAGGAAATTCTTTTTGCAGCGACATATTAGAAGATCCTGGGTCCTCTAAGCTGGGAAGGGATTTGGTTAAAAATCAAACAAATAATGTTGCTATATGATCCAACGGTTTATTTCAATTTTGTAGAGCGTTTACTCACTACAGACGTTTTTACGGTTTCGTGTGTTTGAACAAATGATTTTTAAGCATATTGATATAGTTGAAAGCCCTTCAAAGAGGTACGAAAGCCTTGTAGAGACTTTAGTATAATCGTTTGATTTTGTTTTGAAGTAAACTCTCCACCTGGATTACGCGTATAGAAGTGCCGTAGTGTGTTTGCTCCCAAAAATCTTACATGTGATTTTGTACATGAAATTAATGAAAACAAGGTATGAGATATTCTTAATGTATCTGATTTATTTACTGTAAAGACGTAGTGCGAAATGAGAAAATGGGAGTGAGTATAGGAAAGCAGTGCGAAGCAATTTTGTACCTATAGTTTCTTCCGAGTTCTTTTATGTTTTTCTTTTCGTTCTCCGTTAGCTCCATTTGCGCGTATTCGTTAGAAATCGAACACCATATTTTATATTTTGCTCGTTGTATAAATAAGCTCCTTTTTTTTAAATCAAATAGTGTATACGAATTGTGCTTTCATGGCGACTGGATTCAAGGACAGTAGTACTTCCAATGCCAATAGTATTACAATCCCTACATGTTCGTTTACCTATGTTAGTACTCGCACACATCAGCCAAGACGTGTTACTGGCGTGGAACGTACGTGGGAATATTTGAAGGAACGATTCAATCGAGCAAGTGAAGGTCTTCCAGATCTCTCTACCAGATATTTTGAAACTACTGGATTTGGTCCGTTCTTGTTCGCAGTTGCGGACGACGCTGTATTCTATCATGACGAAGAAAAATGGACTCAATATAAATCAGCATCCGATATCGAGTATGGAACTATGACTATAGATTTGTAATTGACATCGCCCGTTAACTTCATATTGAATTTACCTGAAAAGCTATTTACTTTGACCTATTTCAACGAATAAATGCCCTTCTTTCGCTTACGTGGACGCGAATTCGTAGGCAATTTCATTTTGCGATAAATATAAAAGGATGTATGGATAACAAAGAAACCCTAGACAGCATATTTCTGAGTAGTGTAGAAATCGTTAACTCGATTCGAGTATTAAACTTCTTCGAGTTTTCAACTTATCAACTTTGCATCTTTCAACTTATCAACTTCTAAATTTTACAATTTGAAGCATCGAGTTTTCCGCTTACCAACTCGTAAGTGATTGATCGTAAATCCTCGAGTGACTGATTATTAACTATTATGTAAGTGTCAATTAAATATTAACGAACCGATTACTTATCATCTATCAACGGACTATCATGTAATCGGCACCTGACTATTAAATACTATTTAATCATATATTCACTACATGTCTATGAATTACTGAAGGTAAGGGTAACGAATCCCGTTGACATCGACGTTGACTATACCGTTGCCAGCTGCACGCTCCCCAACACCCTCATCCTCAAGATAATCAGTTAGTTAATAAATCATAGATGATTAATCATTTAATAATTAGCGTTTAGTTAGTGGATATTTAACAGGCAATTAGTTAAGAGTTGAAAACTCGAATTGAAAGTTTAATACTCGAATAGTCTATTCGACTTTTACATGTATGCTTTGTGCAGGATTCGACTTTCTCTTGAGCGGATTCGTTTCAGTTTAGGTATCAATCGAACAAACACTGGTTCCATGTACAGCTTGATGAGCTCTATCGTATCCGAAAACAAAATTTTGGAAAAAGTCTTTCCTTCACCCTCAAAACCCAAAAAAATCTAAAAAAAACACCCAAAAAACCTCGAAACTCTAGAAAATCTCGGGCAGATTTGTTGTCAGAAAGTAAGAGACTACTGAGATTTTCAAGAGAAAATGATTTTTATTAATTTTCTTTATGCTAAACAGCTCGGACTTTTCAGAATTAGTTTAATCAACATATCATTTTTGTAACATACTTGTGCACTCAATCCCTCTGAATCAGTTTCTATGCTATAGTTTCAGATCAGTCGCATGTTTATGAACAAAATTAACGTGCACGTGTATTCCTGACGTTAAACATTCGTGATACGCTTGTCACATGCTTGTGCGTTGAACTGTGCACGGTTTGTTCCCGAATATGAGTGCTGCAGAAGGCGGTGCTATTTTATGGTATTACACGTCCAATACTAACACCTGCTCGCAGTCAGAATCAGCTACCGCGCTGCCGTCCGAATGGATCTTATATCGAGATATAGAAATAGACATGATCGAAGAAGCTTATCAAAAGGGAATGCCGCACTTATTGTTAGATCGATACCGCATCGACTTAGCAACTTATACTCACGTCGTGCTCGATACTAGCGATGAACATCGAGTTACAAAACGAGAAGTAGTTGCCAATCGAATAACTGGTCTTCGTTCGAACCGATTTGGATCATTACCTGGCATCACATCCACATCTATACCCACACCTACGTACGGTGCATATAGCACTTGGTGTCCATTTCTGACAGCATGGCTCAATACTTCCGCAGGAAAACGCATCTTGTTTCAATTTTCTTCATGCATTGAGATATGTGCAGAAGGTATTATCGAAGAAGCAAAAACTCACAGTAATAAAGTCACTATCGAAGCAGCGTATATGGCAAAGAAAATACAGGAGTGTTTGAACAAACCACGAGTGGAGGTATCGAAAACAGCCATCGGTTTATACACTAAAGACAGTTTTCTCTATTTTGCTCTCAACAAAGCCGTACGTGAGTACGATTTGTCAAAGCTGTTTACACTTGGCCCGCTATGTTTCCTAATCAACGATTATGCATCTGTAGCCGAAGAGTTCGTTGGAATTGTGTACAGAGGCGTCCAGTTGACGAATGCTGATATACAAGAATACAGACAAGCAATCGGAACGTGGAAAACGTGGCCAGCGTATACATCGACCAGTAAGAATCGCACCTTAGCGGAAGCGTATGGAAATACTCTTTTCGTAATCGAAATTATTCACTGTCCATTATCTGCTCCACGCAATTTTGATATCGCTGAGTTCTCTAGTTTCCCAGAGGAAGAAGAAGTTCTACTTCTCGCCGGTTGCAGCTTCCAAGTTGTCCATGTTCACTATGATCTTCGGCAAAAGCTCATAATTGATGCTAGGATATAACTATATTTCAATGGTTTACTGTTCTCCACGTATTCTACAAAAGCAAGTTCAAATGTTTGGGAATTATTAATAGTATCATACCAAACGCTTTATAAAACGTTTCCTTCAGCATTTATCACCACCCGTTGCTGTTCTTTTTTGTACCTATTGCTTACTATCATTAGTAGCAATAGAATTTTTATCATATAGAGTTGTAGTATCGCGTAAGAGATCAGAAGTTTAGTGAAGTAGAGTGTAAGTAGCCATGGAAATGAATGGCAACGTAGCTATGGGTCATGAGGATAAAAAATACTTAACAGATGCGTAATGTTGTCAATACACTCATCTATGAGTTCTTTTGAACATTTTTGGTACTTTCAAATCGTGTGCTTGGCGAATTTGAGGGTGAGGGTGTGGATGTGTGGGTGTGATAATTTTTTTGTATCGATAACCCATGTCGAAAAATACATCATTCGATAGAGAATCAAATTCTGAGTTCAACACAACCATTCTTAGACTCAGCACAAGTTCGCAGACGAATATTAGCAAGAATTACAAATTTCTGAAAGACCAGAAAACCTATTGTTTCGTCAAAAACTTGGGTTTTTGGTCGGTGACCCTTACCGAAAACCACACCATTCGATAGAGAATTTAATTCTGTATCCAACACAACCATTTAAAACACCAGCACAGATACTGAAATGAATATTGGCAAAATAAATCGAATATCGTGCCAACTTTCCTTACGTTTTTCTTGAGCGGATTCGTTTTAGCGTAGGTTCCAATCAAACCAACACTGATTCCAAGTACAACTTGATGAGCTCTATTGGTTCCAAAAATAAAATTTCCAAAAAAGCTCTTTCTTCGCCCTCAAACCCTAAAAAAAAGCCTGAAAAAAACACCCAAAAAAACCCGAAACTAGAGAAAAACCGGGGCGGATTCGGTTCACAACGACCGACCGCGATTTTAACACCGGTTCCAGATCAAACTCGACGAGCTCTATCGGTTCCAATCATAAAAAATTTTCACCCCACCCACACCCAAACCCACATCCTCGCATCCACACCCTCAAATAACCTGTACTACCTGGTTAATGTCAGATCGTTCTATTTATCAACATTGACATCTCGTTTATTCCGAGAAACAATGGTCACAGGCTTTTTAAAACGAGTACGTCGAAATCTTCATTGACATGATTGTACAGAAAATTGGTTCACCTTTATATTACGTACGTGTTACACTTGCCTAGGACAACGATAATTTGAATCAGTGTTGACTTATTGCATCGTTTCATAGATCAAATCTATGCACATGTTCTTTATACTGTATGTTTAGATATTTTTTTCAAAAAAAAAATTTATTTGAAAAGAAAGGAAATGAAAATGATTCTGTCCTTAATTTGAACAGGTTTTCATGATAACATCAACGTTTCCATATCCATCATTAGTAGCAATAATATCCGTTAAATTATCATTGTTGACGTCCCCAACGGTGAGTGAATATGGATATGAACGATAACCAGTATTAAATATTAAATCATCGCTGAAACTTCCATTACCGTTACCAAGAAAGATTTGAATATTACTTGAATCATAATTGGCTACAGCAATATCCAAAAAGGTATCATTATTAAAATCTAACACAGCTACAGAATTTGGCCTTGAATGAATGCCAGTAAAATAAGTTCGTTGATTTTGAAATGTTCCATTCCCATTTCCGAGAAACAAACCAACATTGTTTGTACCAGAGTTTGCGACAATTATATCCAAGAGAGCATCATCGTTAATGTCAGAAACAACAACTGGACATGGATGGGAGTCAGTATCAGTTGAATAGCTGATCTCGTGTGTAAAACTACCGTAACCCGATCCAAATAGTATTCTGATAGTATTTGTCGAGTTATCAGCAATAACAACATCTAGTCGAGTATCGTTATCAAAATCTCCAACAGCGAGAGACGTTGGTTGTGATGATGATCGTTCGATCG